ACCTTTTTGGAACATTCATGTGTAACATCATCCCTTGAGCTACCTCAAGGTGTCTGTTTTTTCTTTTGGCAACACCATTTTGTTGCGGTGTTCTTGCACATGAGCTCCTATGAATAGATCCATGGGAGGAAAAACTCATTAAGCTCACCATGGAAATATTCCTTGGCATTATTTGATTGAAAGATCTGTATTTCAACATGGAACTGCGTAAACACCATCCTTTGGAAGTCTTTCACAATCTTTGAAACTTCATCTCTGCTACGCATCGGGAATACCCATGTATTGTGGGAGAAATCATCAATCAAAGTGATAAAGTACTTGTGCCCGCCCTCAGAGATAGGCCCCCATACATCAGAATACACAATATGAAAAGGAAAACTAGATCTTTTATTACTTGAATGAAAAGTTATTCTACATTGTTTGCTCAACTGGCATGTTTGACATTGAAAATTGGACACTGAACATGACTTAAATAAAAACGGAAACAAAGACTTCACTATTTCAAATGAAACATGACCTAACCGACTATGCCACAAAAAAATTTGACTCTTATTTGACTGACTATATGACTCCGAGGGCGACACCGAGAGACCAACTTTGTTGTCGAGAATATAGAGACCATCCATTAAGCTTCCTCTATCAATCGTCCTCGCAGAAGTTAGATCCTGAAAAACACATGAACCAAGAAAAAATGTTACACTACAGTTTAAAGAGTTTGTGATGCTACTGATTGAAAGCAAATTTATAGGATGTTGGGGAACATGCAACACACTATTTAGGTTAAAGCCATGGGGAAGGGATATTGATCCTTGGCCTGCAATGAAGGAGAATGATCCATTTGCAAGTAGCAAGCCTCACTTTATCCCTTCCTGACAAAAGGTTATAAGTCTGAAACAAATTTGGCTTACTGGTCATGTAGTTAGAGGCCCCTAAGTCGATGATGCAAGGGGAATCAGTGGTAGTAGTGACATGGAATGCATAAGCCGCATTACCTGATATAGATGCAAATGAAGTAGGAGTACCAGTAACAGAACTATCCATCTGTTGCAAAGCCCTAGCATATGACTCCAAGTGATCTATGAAGGAATTCATGATATCTTCCTTGGGGTTAGAACTAGTAAAGTGGTCCCAGGTAGTACCAACAACCGGAGTATCTTGGTAATGAAGAATCAAATATGGAATTTTCTCAAATTTTTTTGTTTTTTTTTGTATATTTGGACAATATGGGTATTTTCGTCATTTTGACCAGCCCAGTGTGGACTTGGGATATTAGCATCTTGCTCCTATAGCTTAGTAGTGCTTGTCTTTCATTTTTCAATTTATTTGCATTAGTAGATAGAAAGTTATTGTGTTTCTTGATGCAGAAGACAAATAGTGGCACTTTTTGTAATTATGGTGAACAGTGTTCCGGGCCACACAAGTCCCTCTATAAATAGATGTATTCTCTTCCTATTGAAGCTAATGAATGAATGAATGAATGAAGATTTCTTAAGAGCTCTCTTGCTGTATGGAGTGGTTCCTACAAACCCTAGAGTGATTCTAGGGCCCCTTGGAGTGATTCCTTGGGATTTCTCTCTCTTTTCTCTTTCTCTACCCTTTGTACTCTCTCTTCCTCTCTTTCTGTCTAGGACCCCTTGGAGTGATTCCTTGGGATTTCTCTCTCTTTTCTCTTTCTCTACCCTTTCTACTCTCTCTTCCTCTCTCTTTCTGTCTTGTGTTAGTTTGTTCCAACCCCACTACATCACTTGGGTTGCCAAATGTGCTATATTCGACTTCTTTTGACCTTGCACTTTACCATGTTCTTGGTTTTTTTTTTTTTTTTTTGATAATTGAAATGATTTTATTAATTAGCAATAGACAATAGTACAAAGCCTCCAGGAAAGGCACGAGTTGCAACCTCTCTGGGTTAGTTAAGTACAGATTTCCAGATTAATAACAACTTACAAAGAAGCACAAAAAAGCTCTTCCCTAGAAACCCCCTGTTTGGCTAAAGCATCAACCATAAAATTAGCAGATTTATTAACCCATTTTACCTCAACTCTCATATTGCTGGTTAACCACTTTACTTTTTTGATGAGATCTTTGTAGTCCCAAATGGTAGTATCCGGGTTTAGAAGCCACCTTGTTACCACCTAAGAGTCCCCTTCAACTAGGAGATGCTCCACCCCAAGCTAGTTAGCGATCTGAATTCCTTGTACTGCACCAAGGATTTTTGCCCTTGTGGAGTCCTCCACTCCCACTGATCCTGAGAATAAGGAAATTATGTTGCTGCCCTTATTTCTCAGGATACCCCCTATACTTGAAGACCCGGGTTGCCTTGGATGCTTTCATCAAAGTTCAGCTTGATGACACCTTCCAAAGGCGGAACCCATTCTAACAGAGTTCTATTCTTCTTTGTTGAAGTGTTAGCTATTACTAGCCAATTCCTCCACAAGTCATCAAAGGAGAAATCATAAAAAATATCCACGGTTTTCAGCCAATGGATTGCTCTTGTTAGGATGCAGTCCTTCACTGTCCACTTGGGATTTCCGTGAATTTCCCAATATGTGTCACGTGTATGTCGCGAGCACCGACAGTGGGTACAAAACAACTTGTCTTTATCATCAGCCTTCTTGGAGTCAATTTTCTTCTCCATATTGTTATTACCTATTGTAGCCAATGCTACCTGTTGCTCCTCCTCAGTTGTAACCATCATACTCCTCCTACTTTATTCAGATTGAACAAGGGCATATACCTCTTGAACTGAAGGCAACTCTTTGCTTCCTAAGATCCGAACTCTCAAGGGTTCATGAGCAGGGTTCAGTCCTAACAAGAAAGCAAACACTCGCTGTTGAGAAACCAACTTCTTATAGGACTTAGCATCATCATCATGTTTCCACTCTATAGCTTGATAGTGATCCAATTCTTTCCATACGGAAGTCAGGGCTGAATAATAGGTAGACAAACTCCGATTTTCCTGTTTATAGGTTGAGGATTCAGCTTGCAACCATAGTTGTCAAGGCGACGCCTAGGCGACAAGGTGCCCTTTTAGGCTTGCCTCGCCTAATCGCCTAACAGTTTTCTACCTCCTACTATAAAAAAAATTTTTATTCTTTCTTTTTTGATATTATAATTATAAAATAGACATTATTAAACTAAAATAATCATTTTGTGTGTTTATATACTAATTTCTTTTTATTATTTTCTTATTTATTAGGGTTTAATCAACACAAACATTGCTAAATGCTGTATTGAATCCTCAAAGACTTAAAAACCTGAACCAATAAGTAAGGAAGAACTAAAGATTTTATCTAATCAGCACATTTTCCTCTTCCATATATTCTTCTTCTCCTTCTTCTTCTTCTTCTTCTTCTTCTGCTTCTACTACTACTATACCAAAAATAAGGGTTCAGCCTCTATATTTTTTGAATTTTATTTTCCTTCTTCCTTTTCTTCTCATGAATATGTTAATTTTCTATACTTTAATATGAAATTTATACTTTTCTTATGAAAATCATGAATAGTTATTAAAGAAATATGGTTATGGTACCTAGGGAACTACCCTAGGATCTATGTTTTTAACATAAAAAATCCATCGCCTAGGCGCCCCCAAGTCGCCTAGCCTCGCCTTGGCGCCTTGAAAACTATGCTTGCAACTGGTAAATCTTGGCATAATGCCTTAGCTCAGAATAGGTGGTTTTGGCCTGTTCCCTAATCTCATTAGCGGTGTCTGCCCACATAAAGTTCTTCTTCACATCGGGTTCCATGGCTGCAAGGAGCCAAGACATCACCATACTGTTTTCTTGGTCCCACCTATCATGTTCAGCTATCTCACACTTGGTTTCTTTCACTCTGCCATTTATGTAACCAGCTTTTCCACTTGTTATTAAGTTTCACACTTTTAACCCATTCCAGGTAATTCAGGCCATTTAAAGGGATAATTGGCATGGGAAACATCATGTTTTCACCCCCCATACCAGCTGTACTATTAGTTGGTGTAACTCCAGGTGATGTTGAATCATAGTTTGCCATTGAGAAAAAAGGGTCACAAATATACCAGACCAAATCCCACACAAACAAAATGCTAAACTCCCAAGAATTTTCACTTCTGGAATGAGAAAGATAGTGCTGAAATCAGTCCAGCAATAGTTCGGTCCTTAGAATAGCCCAGTAATCAGTCCAGCGACTAGTCTACTAACAGGCTACTGAAAACAGTCTACTAACAGCAATAGTTCGGCCACAAGCAGTCGTTTAAAAAGGTCTACTAACAGTTCGACACAGCACATGATTAAAAATAACACATACCCCTGTCCAGTGCCTGTACGAAGGTGTAAACCTCAAAACCAAGGCCTTCACAGCCCTTCACAGCATAGACCACAGAGAAAAAAGGGGACACATACCCCTGTCCAACACCTGTACGAAGTTGCAAACCCAGAAAAAAATTTTCACAGCATCGAACTAAGAGAGGAGAGTCATTCCAGCATCGCCCCTCTTCTATTAGGGTTTCCTTGGTGTTACGACCAAGGAAGAACCCAAAGAACAACAGCCGCAAGAACTCTGACCAGTCCGATTAGAATTCTTGGTCTTCCACGTCCAAGAGATCAAGAGAAAAAAAAGGACTGAGATTCAGATGAAAAAAACATATTTTCGAGCCCAGAATTATAGCTCTGATACCATGTGTTCTTTCCTGAGAGAGAGAGAGAGAGAGAGAGAGAGAGAGAGAGAGAGAGAGAGGTTTGATTGAGAATCAAAGTCAAGGGCTGGCGGCTACCAGCTTGTTATTTATATTCACTTAAAATAAGAAGATCAGGAGTTACAATAATGCCCCTGGCGGCAAATCCTAACAATAAACAAATAACAAGAAAGAAGAGAAAAACTAGCTGACAGCACCTAGGTTGACTAGGCTGACAGCATACTAACAGAAAACCAATAAATAAGTTTCACAGCATTTTAGTTGTTTTTTTGTTAGTGAAATGATAATGAGTTTGCCGCTGTTTTTTATTTTTCTTGATTGTCAACAGATTTCATGGATGAGATTGATGCGGAAATAAAAGACAAGAATGAACAGGGAAAAGCGCATCACCTTCCTTTCTTGCCGAAAGAAGAGGAGCTGAGTGATGTAGAGCTTGAAAGATATCTGGAAGAGCGCTATGGGCCTGGTTCACACTATGTTGCACACAAAGAAGATGATTATGAGGCTAAAAGATCTGATTATAAAATTGACCAAATGCCTTCTATTAATGATCCAACCATATGGAAGGTCAAATGCACGGTGCGTTTTCCCTTTAGATTTTTTACTACTTATTGGCATGGTTGCATTTTATTTAAGTGTCTTATTGAGTGCCTGTGACTGGTTGTAGGTTGGGCGTGAGCGATATTCAACCTTCTGCCTCATGCAGAAGTATGCTGACTTGCAAAATCTTGGAACTAAACTGCAGATAAGTTCTGCATTCGCCCTTGACAACATAAAGGGTTTTATTTATATTGAAGCTTATAAAGAATGTGATGTCACTGAGGTATCTTCGTTTATCTGTTATTGGAAAGTTAAAGTTATGTTAGTTATCATATTTTGTAAAATACCTGTTAATGTATTTTGCTATCATTTATTATTATTATTATTATATTGTATCTTCTTTTATCTGTTATTGGAAAGGTTAAAGTTATGTTATCATATTTTGTAAAATACCTGTTAATGTATTTTTCTATCCTTTATTATTATTATTATTATTATATTTTTCAATAAAATCCATTATTATTCTATGAATGTTTTTCAAAATTTAAAGGACTGATTTGGGCATAATGTGTGTTCCTTTTTAGGCTTGCAGAGGGCTTTGTAGTATTTATTCTACTAGAATGATACCTGTCCCGAAAAATGAACTTTCTCATTTGCTTTCGGCTCGAAACAAATTAAAAGTTTTGCGGGGTATGTGGGCCCGCTTGAAATCTGGGAAATACAAAGGTGACCTAGCACAGGTATAAAGTTCATTTTTTAGTTGTGAACTAACTGGTTTCAAACTATATTTAATTCTTGTCTATGTGAACTTTGTATAGGTTGTTTCTGTCAATGACAAACGCAAAAGAGCAATGATAAAGCTGATTCCGAGAATTGATCTGCAAGCTATTGCCAAGAAACTTGTAATAACTCTGTTTTTCCTAGAAAGTCCTTTTTGTTTATTGTAGCCTTTTTGTTTGATTGTAGCTATTACAAAAGAGCTAGAAGCAAAATTCTCCTAATAGTCATGCTATATTGCATTGTGAATCAACTAGGGGAAATGTATGTGAAGAATATATTGTGCTATTTTCCATGCTATAGTAGACATCCTGCCATCTTTAACATCTAGAGACTTGTGCTATGCACAAGGTGACTCAAGTATATCTATTGTTAATTTTTAAGGGTTCCAGCTTTTGATGATGGCACAACTATTAAAGCAAGGCACGGAATAGATGATCTTGACCAATCAATTAAATTAATCCTGAATTTTTGGGCCATATTTAACTCTGGGGTATTTTCTATTCTTTATGCACGTGAAAAGATCAACTTCACTTTTCATATTACCTTCCTGTATCTCATTGTTTTTAAATCAACATGTGTGATTATCTAGTCAGAATTGATGTATTGATGACTCACTGGCTCCCGTTTAGTTATGGGTGCATATGATTACAATCAACTCACATGGTTGTAAGGTTCATTTGTTGCTTGTTATTTATTTTTTAGTTATGGGTGCATATGACTCACTGGCTCCCGTTTAGTTATGGGTGCATATGATTATAATCAACTTACATGGTTGTAAGGTTCATTTGTTGCTTGTTATTTATTTGTTTGTGAAAAGATTGTTGGAATAGGTTCCCATTTGTTAATTTCTTTTGAATTAACATGTGAACTATCTAAGCTCTGGATAACTTTCTCTTTCAAAAGCTACCTTATCCAGCCATGTTCTAACCGTAACAAGGCAACGTAGGTTGGTACTTGGTATGCCTCAATGGTGAAGTCTATTTTTTCGTTAGCTTGTATATCCTCTTTACTTTGTTGCGGAAACTTTGTTTTTTTAATAATGAAAACCTATGGTGAGATAAGTAAATTTATTTGTTAAGTTAGTGGAAAATATATGAACTAAGGATTAAAGAGTGTGGCAATTTAGGTCTAAATTTCCTGGTGCCAAAAGTAGAGAGCCCCATGGGTGAAAGGAGGGGCAGAAACACACAATTTTCTTTTCCTCCATAAATTGGCCTGTGATGGAAGAAGGGATAATTCATCTCCAAAAATAAAAGTGGGCAGAGGGTTGTTTGGGGATGTGTAGGATATAACAGATGCTATAATCCAGTTATGCTTGGTGCTGTACTTGGAAAGAGTGCTTTTGGAGCTAAGTTTTGATGGATCAATTTGAGTCATATTACAATAGCACCAAGCATAACGGCTTCTATGTAAGCCTTCTACAAGAGATGATTGTAAGTGTGTAATGATGAATTTATGAGTGTGGGGGAATATCAAAATGATAGATTTTTTATATAATTCAGTGGTAATGAAACTTTTCTGCCTTTCATTCCACTTTCCAAAGGAGGGTGCTATTATGGACTTCAGACCTTAAGTTTGGCATGAGGCCTTTAAGGTGTTATAGTGAAGGTGTTTGCAAAAGGTCTGAAAGCATGTTAGCTTATATTGTTTTTCCTTGCCAAATAGCTTTGTTTTAAGTAGATAGGCTTTGGATGGTGTCTCATTTGTTGATATCTGTCTGGACTTCAGAACTAAGATGGCATTTCAGGCATTCTGTCCAAAATTGATTTGCAGAAGGCTTATGACTATGCTAACTGGCAGTTTGTTGGTTTCAGTTACCTTTTTGATCAATTAAATTGTTTTTTATTGTTATTGATAAAAAATGTAATTTATTTTAATATATTATATCACATACAGGCTGTGTAATTTGTAAACTTCTTTCTCAGGGTGGTGGAGTAATTATCCGACAGACTGCTGTTCCTGCACCCAGATTGATCAGCTCTAGTGAACTTGAGTAAATTGCTAAATATTGTCTCTGAGTGGACAGTTTATGGTGTCTATGGTTCTTATACTTTCCTATATACATTATGCAGGGATTTCCGGTCTCATATTCATTACCGATGTGATCGTGAAACAGGCGAGGTTTATGAAATACTTGATGGTTTGATGTTGAAGAATGGTTATTATTATAAAAGAGTATCATTTGATTCATTAAGCTTCTGGAGAGTGCTTCCTTCAGATGATGAACTTCAGAAGTTTAAGACTTTTGAGAATCAAATGTCTGATGATCCAGAGTGGCTTTCACGGCTTTATGGTGAACGGAGAAAAAAGTGTTCTGGTAAGGGTGGTAAAGGAACATCAAAAGGATCTGTAGGTACATCAAGGAGTAAAAAGGGGGGTGGTTTTCAACTGCATGATCTTGTTTTCTTTGGGTAAGATGGGCTTCTTTTTGCTTGCTTCTGTTACAACCTCCAACTGGCATTCTTGTAATAAGAGGAGTTATTCATGGTGTCTTATTTTTACTGTTCTCTTCCCATACAGTCAGAACGATTATGGTGTTATAATAGATGTGCAGGAGACTGAAACCTTTCAGGTAGTCAGACTAACTTTATTTTTAGATTGTCTTTATTCCTTATTTTATCTTTATTTGCTGTTTACATTTGACATTATGTGATCTAGATCCTAAAACATGACTGCGGAGAGTCAAAAATAGTGACTGTTGAGCTGCATGAGATAAAAATTGGATCAAATGATAAAAAGTATTCTGCTTTGGACAAGCAGATGATGAAAATATCTGTCAGGGATTTTATCGAGGTCTTAGAAGGTCCACTACAGGTGTAACTATATTTTTGGATGATGAGTTTTTTACATCTCTTCTATTATTTACTGAAATGGTTGTGTAATAAAGGGCTAACCCCCTGTAATGCTGTTATTTCTCTCTTGTAGGGTAGACGAGGGGTTGTTAGGCAAATCTACCAAAGCACCATCTTTGTTTATGATAAAAATCAAAAGGAGAATAGTGGTTTCTTCTGTGTTAAAGCTCAATTGTGTAAAAGGATTAAGCCTTCTAAGGAAGCCCTTCAGGAGAACATTGTATGGCTTAAATTTAGTGATATGATTTATTTGTTAGTGATATTATCTTACTTTTTCATGTTCTGTTGAATGCACAGGATGATGGATCAGGTCCGCCTGGTTTTGATGAGACCATGCCGTCTCCAAAATCTCCCCTGTCACCTAAAAGACCATGGATGGCGAAAGATAATAACTGTGACTGTATGTTTGAGAGTTTGCTACCTATGTTTTCAGAATTATCAGATGCAAATATGATTGGTACCTTACTAATTTTGGTAGCCTCAATGTAGTTAGCAGAAATCACCAAGGTAATGGAGGTGGAATATTCTCTGTTGGGCAAGCCTTGAGAATCAGAGTTGGTCCTCTAAAAGGTTACCTGTGTCGTGTCATAGCCATATATCATTCAGATGTTACAGTGAAGCTTGATTCTCAGCTAAAAATCATTACAGGTTTGGTGTTTGCAGTTACTTTGTAGTGTTAAGTGGTAGGTTACATTCTAACAACTTCTTGGGCTTAATTTTTTCTGCAGTTAAAAGTGAACATCTTACCGAGGTTCATGGTAAGAGCTGTGGAGGCTCTATTACGTAAGTCTTTTCCTTTTATGGCTTATTCTTTTTAGTAGCATAAAATAGGATATGCATTTGTTTTGCTTATAATTCCTGGAAACAGAAGATAGAGACAAGGCATAGACACTTTTTTTAGCAATCTCTAGAAGTTCTGAAATTTTCCTATTTGCCTTTGCCAAAGCAGGGATTCTGACATGAACCCATTTGGTGATTTTGGGAGTCATAGTTTCTCAGGAGGTATGATTATAGTACATTAGAAGGATGAAACTGCGTTGTCAGTTAATTTAGGGTAAACACACTTTTCACTAAAGAGGAAGAAACTGCCTACTTAGATGATCTATGATGAAAAATCTGTTCGTAAAAGTTGAGAAATTTCTCATTATTCGTTATGTGAGTTTTCTATTTGTAAATTATTCTCAACTACATGTAGCATGCAATTACCCCCAATCTGACATGTATATATTGCTTTTTTTTTTCATTTCATTTTCCTTGCTCTTTGTTCACACTGAAGTAGTATTTCATAATGTTGTGCGCTGACACGATTCCTCTGTATTTTCAAGATTTTACAGAAGGAATGGGTGCACCAATGGAAAGCAATGGATGGGATTCTGGGCAGAAATCATCTGAAAGGTATAAAAATGTCCACATTAAATATTAAATTATTCATTCTCCATATATTCATGCCTTAAAATCATACAAATAAATATTGATTTACATTTAACAATATTTTCACCTTCAATACAGGTTTTTTACATTAGTGAAGAGAGTTGGTATTTAACATTTTCTATGCCATATTGTGATTATTTAACAAGAGTTCAAAATGTTTTTTTTTTTTTTTTAATTTTTTGATTGGAAAAGTAACTTTCAACCACTCACGGCATGAGTGTTGACCCCATATTTTATCTCAAGGTTTACAATACATTTCCCAAAAGATTTTCCCTAAGGGTGCTTTGCCAAAGTATCAGCCAAACCATTGGCTGACCTCCTTTACTCCTTGTCCAATCAAGAAATCAAAATGTCATTGCTAGATGTGGTATTATTCTTTTCAGTTCATCTACTTGTGCCTTATTAGAGTTCACATTGGTATCCAACTCAATATCATGCTCCCCAATTTTAGCTCATGTCAAGGTACTGTCTATGGGTGAAATTTTAAAGAGTACCAGTATTCTCTTACCTGTATGAAAACTAGGGTCCTTCTGTAAGATTCTTTGGGCCTTTATAATGGGAGACCTTGAAGAAGAGAGTTGATGAACCTATATAAGAATATGGAGGACCAAAAATGAATTCTTTTTAGTAATTTTTCTTGTTTAATAGTGGTAATACGATCCATGGTGTTGGTTGGCTTCCTTTTGCCCTTGTGACATGTAACTTGTATTTCTCATGGGAATTGGGGTGGGGTGGGGAGTAAGTGGAAGACCTTGAAGCGGAGTGCGGAGAGTTGATGAAGTCTATAGTATGGAAGATAAAAATGAACTCTTATTTTGAAAACATCTTGTTAAATAATGGTAATTACTTGATTTCTAATGTAGTTTTTCAGAAACCTTTAATCATGTAAATGCACACATTTTTATACTGATTATCTAGTTCTTAATCTTCTAGTCCTCTGGGTGCTTCTTCAATTTGGTGCTAGAAACCAATTGTTCTGCTAAATGCCACTGCTTATATCTTAGTTTTTTTCAGTGAATTAAAATTAAATACCATTGCCTTGTAGTTTAGTCAGCTAATTTGTATTTTGATGCTACCAAAATGGTTAGTTCTTGGTTGCTTTCTTCAATTATTAGGTATCTTTTTGTTGAGTCATAAATCTAACTGCTTCCTTTAACTTTGGTTCATCTATTGATAAAGACCTTGCCTATATTGCCCCAATCTGATACAGTATTGTCTGTTTGCAGGAGCACTTGGCCTGGTTTCTCTTCTGCTGCTTTTTCAGTTAGTCAATCAAATTTCTATATATAGGGCTTATGTTCTCATCTTTTTTTTTTTATTTTATTTTATGGTATTTGGTTTATCCGATTTAGTTAGATAAATTGTTCATACTAACAGATCTCTGTACTTGAAAATTCAGATTGGATCACCTCTTGCAAGGCCTTTTGACTCCATTGATAGTGATCCCAAAAAAGGTATGTCATGGTGCTAGTTCTTCTGGTTTGTTAGAATCTACATGTGTAGTATACTTGTACTAATAATTCACACACATGCAAGTGCATTTTTAGAGAAACATTAGACAATCCTAGTACAGACAAGAGACAACATAATGACAAAGACCAAATGTTTGTTATGCTAGTTCTCCACTTCTTTTCATTCTGGTTTCATAAAATAATTCTTTATGTTCTGCCATCCCATTTGCAGTCCTCATCCAATTAAAGGTAATGTTCAAATCCTTTGAGAGGCTTTCTATCTCCCTGAACACATGCTTGTAAATCCTAGCTAGCCGACTGCTACATCTTGTCCAAGAAATAACCAGCTTTGACTCCCTTTCCACTTCTAGTTGCTGAAAGTTTGAGTGCTATGCTACTTCTTGTGTTCTTTGTGTTTTTGTATCTGACAATTATTTTTACAATATACAGATGGAGAAGGTGACACCTGGGGAAGTAAAGCAATTTCAGCAACTGGTAATCAAATAGCGGACTGCTGGGATAAAGCAGCAGGCTCTAATGGTGATCAGAATTCATCGTGGAATATAGGATCATCTCAGGGTACTGGAGACCGGGGAAGAAACACAGACTCTTGGGACAGGTCTACAGCTAAACATGGCTTTGGTAGCAGCAACACCAATGGTTGGGAGAAAGTAGAGCCTCCCAGTGAAGGTAAGACTTGGCAGTTCAAGAGATGGAGGATGCTGCCTTTTTTGGTAATAAAATAAAACTTATTAAAATAATAAAATAAATACGAGAAAGGTGACCAGAAGTCACCCAAGAGAGGAAAAATTCCAATCCCACCCAATTATCAACAAGCACAACCCGACCATGCAAAAGATGGAGGATGCTGCCTGACCTGACCTTCAATGGGAAGGTCTGCTTTCTCCCAATTATAATGGGGGTATCTTTGTTGTGCTCTTATATTCTTTATATCTTTTGCTCACTTCGTCATTTTTATAATTCACAGATGGAGGGGGTGACACCTGGGGAAGTAAAGCAATTGCAGCAACTGGTAATCAAGCAGCAGGTTCTAGTGGAGATCAGACTTCATCCTGGGATAAAGTTATAACAAAACAGGGCTTTGGTAGCAGTAGGACTGATAATTGGGATAAAACAGAATGTCCTATTGAAGGTCTGGCTGGAAACTTAAGAGATGAAGGATGCAGTTGGGGCACTGGAAAATTAAATTCTGGATGTCAGGAAGACCATTCAAATGATGCAACAGGCTGTTGGAACAGTGCCAAAAGTGTATCTAAGAATGACAAAGGTCATTTAAGAACATCAGAAAATACATGGGACAAAGGTAGACATGGAAGTGAGAACCCTAGTTGGAAAGGTGAAGTTGAATTGCAAAACCAGCCAAATTCTTGGGACAAAGGCAAGGGTATAGTTGGAAAAGATGCAGATGCCTGGGGTAATGCAGTGGAGTCCCAAGTTCAAGGTCATACTGATAGAGCAAATCAAGAAGATGTGTGGGGTAAAGCTGCAGATAATTGGACGGTAAGAGATGGTTCCATTGGTGGGAAGAAAGATAGTTGGAATACTGCAGCATCTGGAGGGAGGAATCAGACTGGGGGTTGGGGTACAGCTGGTAGTCATGCTTACAAGGAATCAGAAAATCAAGATCAAGGGAGCAACAACTGGACCACTTGGAGTAAAAATGAAAAGGGAGACAGTTGTGGAGGATCAAAGGCTTTTGGTGATGAGGGAGCATCTTGGAGTAAAGACAAAGCGTTTGATGCAGAGGATGAAGCTAGTGGAAAAAAGGAGCTAAATGACCGCTGGAACATTTCTAGACGTGTTAATGCTGATCAAAGATATGATTGGAACAAGGGGTCAGAAGATAATAAAGCATGGGAGAAAAAAGATCAAGATTTTAGCTTGGGCAAGGCAAATGCTTTTGACAGGGGTCAGGAATATGGCAGAAGAGGAAGGGGAGGGTGTCGAGGAGTTAGAGATCATTTTAATGGTGGAAGATCCTTTAGTCGGGGGCAGTTTTCTGGTTGGAATAAAGGTGATCAAGACAAATGTTTTACAGGTGATGGATCATCTTCTAGAAACCAATCATCTGGTTGGAACAATGATCAACTGGATGGTTGGAATAGAAGCAAGTGTTCTGGTTTTAATGAAAAATGGAACAATGTAACTCAACATTCCGGGGAAACCAATAAAGATGATGCATGGAACCAAACCAAAGGTGAAGGTCAATCTGCCAACTGGAATAGAAGCAAGTGTTCTGGTTTTAATGAAAAATGGAACGATGTAACTCAACATTCTGGGGAAACCATTAAAGATGATGCATGGAACCAAACCAAAGGTGAAGGTCAATCTGCCAACTGGAGTGATGTCAAAGATACTTTTAAAAGTGTAGCAATGGGTTTGGAATCAAGTGGACAGAGAGGAAGGGGAGGACGCCGGGGTGGCAGAGGTAATTTTAACAGAGGGAGTTTCTCTGGTCGGGGTCAGTCTTCTGGCTGGAAGACAGATGGTCAACAGAAACATAGGACTCTTGATGAAGCATTCTCTGGAAACCCGTCAGCTGGTTGGAACAATGACACCTTTGGAAACAAATATTGCTCCACAGTAGGTGCTCAACAGAAAGGTATAATGCAATTCTATATCTACTACTATATTTTAGTGTCCATTTGGAGGCTTTTAAATCAATCATGCATATGCAAGTGCATTTATCAAAATAAAGCCTAGTGGTTCTCTTGGCAGTACTTAAAATTTCAACTGTTAATGATCTATTTTCTGTACTATATCCTCATAAACTCTTGCTTCCCAAAATGATGGAATTGGTTTGAGTTAAGATCATCAAATAGGATGTAGTTTTTTTATTGGGGACATGATGCCGTGAATGGTAAAATTTGGTTTGTACTTGCTGCCTTTGATTAGTGAAGGATGCAGAGTGTAATATCCTATGTGCTCCACCGTGTACATTTGGCATTTTGCATATTCATGTGCTTGTTTGCAGACATGTGCTTGTATGTACAAATTTCTGTAGTGCTCTTAATATATATGCAGCAATATTCCTCTTTTACTAATTTTGCCAGTATGTGATACACAGATGGAGGTGGTGAAACTTGGGAGCAAAACACTGTTGCAGAAACTGCTAACCAAGCAGGTACTGATCAAGTCCCAGGCAGCTGGGATAAAAGTGTAGGCTATAGTGGAGACAAGAATTCGTGGAATAGTGGTGCTACTGAGGATAAGGGGGTTGATATCAAAGCTGGAAGTTGGGGTAAGAGTGGAGGCTCTTGGGACAAAGGGAAACATCTGGTTAAAAACGAAGGAGCTTGGGGCAAAGCTGTAGAATCCCAAGGGCATACCAGTAATACCCATCAAGAAGACTCCTGGGGCAAAGGAGCTGATAGCTGGATGGGAAAAGGTGGTTCAGCTGAAAATTGGAACACTTCAACATCTGCAGGATGGAATCAGACTGGTGGTTGGGATCGGGAGTCTGGTGGAAGAAGAGATCTAGAATCCCAAGGGCATACCAGTAATACCCATCAAGAAGACTCCTGGGGCAAAGGAGCTGATAGCTTGAAGGAAAAAGGTGGTTCAGCTGAAAATTGGAACACTTCAACATCTGCAGGATGGAATCAGACTGGTGGTTGGGGTCGGGAGTCTGGTGGAAGAAGCGCTCCAGAATCCCAAGGGCATACCAGTAATACCCATCAAGAAGGCTCCTGGGGCAAAGGAGCTGATAGCTGGATGGAAAAAGGTGGTTCAGATGAAAATTGGGGTCGGGAGTCGGGTGGAAGAAGTAGGGGTGGATATCGAGGTGGTAGAGATAATTTTCATAGAGGTAGATCCTTTGGTCGAGGGCAATCTTCTGGTTGGAATAGGGATAATCAGGGTCAATCTTCTGGTTGGAATAGAAATGGTCAATCTTCTGGTTGGAATAGGGATAATCAGGGTCAATCTTCCGGTTGGAATAGGGATAATCAGGGTCAATCTTCTGGTTGGAGTAGGGATAATCAAGGTCAATCTTCTGGTAAAGCTGGATGTGGTAACGAGGGTGAAGGTGGTTGGAGCAGGGGGCAATCCTCTGGTTGGGGATCATGATGGTTCTAGGCTGTAGGGCCTTTTGCTTGAAACTGTGTCAATATTTTTTGTTTCCTCCCCTCTACTCTTTGTTGTACATAGAGTAGGGATAATCAGGGTCAATCTTCTGGTGAAGCTGGATGTGGTAACGAGGGTTAAGGTGGTTGGAGCAGGGGGCAATCCTCTGGTTGGGGATCCTGATGGTTCTAGGCTGTAGGGCCTTTTGCTTGGAACTGTGTCAATATTTTTTGTTTCCTCCCCTCTACTCTTTGTTGTACATAGACACGGTTATCGTCTTTTATTTTTTTCTGCTTGATATATCATGTATGTATGCACTTGGTGGCTGCCCCCACTCCAGGCCTTTTTATGCCTTGTTACAATGTGATATGTAAACCTGAAGCTAAGCAGAACTACAAAAGAACTTTACCTTTTCCTTTTGGGAAAAGAGAAACTGCACTATATCAACCGGTATCAATGGATGTTTTGGAGGACGAGGAACTTGTATATTGCAAAATACTGACATGAGCAGGATCTATTTCTATTTCTGTATCACAAAATCCATGAAGAGCACTGGGTCATTCTTGGCTCAAATGGACCAATCATTGTGAAGGAAGACTTGCTGGTCTATATTAAAATCTAGTATACAACATATACCACAATGGGCATTTAGGTGTTAAAACAGACCACTCTCATGGATTGATCAAGTTCACTGGAACCATTTTAAGAAACAAAACTTCTGGATCATATACAATTTGTACATCTGTAGATATAATCATATAACAATCAGTTGGCCCATATTTTACTCTTGTTTTTTTTTGGAATGTAAAGCTCAAGCATATATCGGCAACTCATCAGCATGTACTCATTTTTCATAGATATACGGTTCAGCTCACCCACTTCACCTCTGGTTCTGGGACTATTCAGCCACCAATCCTCAGACCTACCGGCAGCCCCCAAAAAAGCCAGAACAAATATGGACGTTCCACAATCCACACCCAACAGTACGGATAAGTATATACACCTTATATCTAAAGCTATGTATTGGTATCATTATGACCGATACTCAGATACATTTATGTTTTAAAACATTTATGTTTCCATGTATCCATGCGTTTTGGGGTCCATCAATATAGATTGTGTTTAGGGGTGCTCACGGTTCGGTCCGTGGGCTATTTTTGAAACCGAATCGGGGTTATTGGTTTTTGGAAAACCAGTAACCGAAACCGAACCATTGATTGGTTAATCGGTTGACTGGTTTGGTTTGTGGGTTTTTCGGTTTTTATTTATTTATAATATTAATTATAGAAAAATATATAAATATATAATAAAATACTAGAAATATATATTATTATATTTTAAATAATAAATAATATATTATATTATATATATTTATATAATGCATATGAAAATGTAAGAAACTAATAAAAAAAGTTGTATCAGATACAGGGGTTTATGCTGATATACGGAAGACTCATGGATCACTGCAACACTGTTAGATTTGTTTGAGTTACCACTGTCCACATAGACTCATGGAGTCATGACCAAGTTTTCACTTAACGGTTGAACCGAATGATTCATTGTTTTGCCTTTTTATTTTTTTAACAAGTCATTAAGTCGGTGATTATGATCTCCTTGGTTCAGAACCAAAAAGAAGGGAAATTCCAGAATAGTATCATCTATAGAGGTTGCTGCAATGATCCCCATTTTGACCGTCTCCTTGGCCTTCACCTTCAAAATGTGTCTTTTGTGTCATTTCAGAAATGGCAGTGTAAAGAAAATTAGATGCCATTTAAAGGGCTTTTGTGTCATTTCATATGTTATTAGCTATTTGGAACTAGATTGACAGTTTTCGAGAATATAAGTACTACATTGACACGTTTTGAAGTTTGAGTACCAACTTGCAACAACCCTTGAAGTAGGGAAAACTAATTTGGAATCCCCCCTGGATATAACATCTGACTCGGGATTATTGTTATTACAGTGTTTTTGTTATGTGGGCGGCCCTTGTATCCACTAGAAATACAAAGCCATGAGACATTCGATTGTAGCCACTGAAGTTCTGTTTGCTATCATTGCCATTTTGGGCTCAAACGTTTGAGTTCAGATCTCCGCCCCACAACGCCCCGCAGCAAATTTTTGCTGTGTATTGGGAATATCTTCCGATAATAGTATCCATCATGATGATATCATCATCGGGAGATGTTCTCAATACACGACGGGGATGTACTGTGGGGCGGAGATGTGATCTCCAAACGTTTATAGGCAAGGGCATTTCATGTCAAAACGCATAAACATTTTGACATGATACTTGTTTGATTGATTGGTATTTATGCTGATTATGCATTGAATAATTGTTTTGAGCAGCATTTTATTTAACCTTTGCATTAATTCCTAAAGCTTTTAAATTTAATGTTTATATTGGTTGTGAAACCACTCTATGAATTTTCATCATCAATTCATCATCCAAGCCTTCTCCCAACCTGATGTGAGTTGCTCCATAATCCTATTTCACGAGTTTGTTTGAGTTGGGATTTGCTCCCGCCAAACTTGTCCCAATACGCTTCCAACATAATCTGCATCCCACATATTACCATAAAATTGGGATCCATCATGTCTGAGATGTACATACACAAATCATATTGGAATGTTTTTTTTTTTCTTTGTTAGGAACAAATCCAATCTCGTTTGTTTTACTTAATGCCAAGATGCTCATTATTACGAGTTCACATTGGCACCCCACAGTACATCCCAATCGTGTATTGGGAACATCTCCCAATGATAAGTAGTAAGTACGCTGAGATGTGCATGTGGGGCGCTGATGTGATCTCCATTATTACATATGGATTAACATTAAGTGCAGATTTGATGGAGCCTGGATCTCCAATAAGCAAAAACCCTGCTCACATGGCATCCAGCTTTGCATTGGGAATATCTCCCATATATGTATGTTAAATTCATGGTTTTCAAAACCAGACTGGATTGGAAAAACCGGGAACTGGTCAGGTGACCGGTTCTATTCTTCCCAAAACCGGGATTTCTCAAAAAACCGTTGATTTTGGTCAGCAAACTGTTGACCCGGGTGGTTAACCATTCAAACAATTTTGACCATTTTTATTTTTTTGTCAGAATGGGCCGACTGTTCGTGTTGAACGGTCCATCCATTCAACCCGATAATCGGACCCCTGACCGGTTCGGTCTCTGGGTCGGTTTTAAAAACCATGGTTAAATTCATGGAGAGTCAATGTGTGGTTGGATTGGGTGTGTGTAGAGTTTTTGCTTGTGAATTTCATCATGATTTGATGGTTCTAAAACATGAAACCGGAGAAAAGAACTTTTGTATCAGAGGTGGATTTATGGGTATTCAATGAGATCGCATCAGCACCCCACATACACTGGGAACGTCTCCTGTACTTGTCAATGATGGGAGATCACATCTCCGCCCCACAAACGCCCCACAGCACATCCCGCCGTGTGTTGTCAACATCTCCCGATGATACTCCAATGAGAGATGTTTCCAATATACGGTTGAAATGTGCTGTGGGGTATTGTGAGGCACGCCCTGTGAGGCGCCGATGTGAACTAGTATTCAATGGTGTCTCCATCTTTGCTACTATTGGATGCACCAGAATATATCTCTACGCCAGAAAATTTTGGCTGTAGGAAATAGTCTAGGCTGTTTTGGGAGCCTACAGACGCCTTATCACGAGCAAAGTAAAAAAAAAATATTTACAATCAATATTTTTTTAGCTAAAAAGATAAATAAGAACCTGAATTAAATAACGCGTGTTCTTATTTCTTAAATAACGTCTGTTGTTTATCAAATAAATAAATAAATAACGTGTATCATGTGCAGGAAGCAGCCTAGGCTATTTTTTTTCAGACAGCGAACGTTTTTCCTCTTACACCACTGCATGGTTTTTAAAACCGACCCGGAGACCGAATCGGTCAGGGGTCTGGTTATCGGGTCAAACAGTTGGCCCGTTCTGATAAGAAAATAAAAAAGCGGTCAAAACGTTTGAACGGTTAACTGCCTAGGTCAGCAGTTTGCTGACCAAAATCAACGTTTTTTTGAGAAATTTTGGTTTGGGGAAGAACGGAACTGGTCACCTGACCGGTTCCCGGTTTTTCCGGTCTAACCATCCAGTCCAGTCTGGTTTTGAAAACCATGATGCAGAGTGCTAACTAAGGGATTGTTTGGCTCATAATCAGAATCAGAGTCCAAATCCTTCGGAATCAGACTGATCTATTCCCATAATCTGTTAGATTCAGACATGAATCAAAATGAGAATTGAAATCAACTGGAATGAGATTTCATTTTCAAAGGAGAGGGAGAGAATGGTCATTCCCTCAAATGGGGAATGCCATTCTACCAAGAATAAAAATGGGATTCTGATTCTATCCAACCAAACAGTTGGAATTAGCTGATTCCAGACCTTAAGAGTCAGGTCATTGGATTATTTTTTCAATTGAGCAGTCACTGGAGGAAACTTTTTAAGACTGTTTTAACTCAAAACAAAAAAATCAACATTCCAAATACCTACGTGGAGCTGACATGACAACATTCCAAGTAGATGTGAGGTTGGTATGAGGATCGCTATGTGAGAAGCAAATCCTGATTCCACACTTAGGGCTGGTGTGATATGTTTTTACTGCCTAAACAGCCCCCAAAACAGCTAAAGTGCAATTAATCTAAACTCCCACCTAGAATTTGGATCTCTGGATCAACAAATGCTGGTCACTAAATACAACCACACATCGGGAACATCTCTTATACTTTATTGTAATTCATGGGGAGATATTATCATACTTTATGTTGCAATCCTTACACAGAACGTACATATTCAGCATTGCTGGTTGACTAGACAACATCAAAGTATCATGTGGCCTCATAGCACGATGAATTAGGCTTCTCCCTTGGGCCTTAACTAGGGGTTATGTAGCCTGGCCAGAAAGCCCATTTTGACTCAGCCCAGAAAATTCTGAACAACGGCTTAGGTTTTGTTTCCAAGGCCTGGACCCAAGCTTGCATTAAGCCCAAAAATTTACAGCCTATGTATGACAGACCACTTAACGGAAACCCATCCAATGGGCCAAGAGAAAGTCATTAATCCAAACGAAAAAAAAATATTTAAAGAAAACCCTTCAAAATCAGACAACTCAACCTTAGGAATCGGAATCGAAATCTTCTGGAATCGAAATACTCTGAAATCGGAACGACCATTCTCATAGTCTGTTTGGTTCAGACAGGAATGAGAATATGAATTAAAATCAACAGGAATGAGATTTCATTCCCAAGGGAGGGGCAGGGAATGGCCATTCCCTCAAATGGGAGAATGCCATTCCAACAGGAATGGGAATGAATGGGATTCCGATTCTGCCCAATCAAACAATTGGAATCGAAATTCCAGACCCCTATTCCTGCAAACCAAATGGACCCTAAAAATGAAATTTCATTCCCAAAGGAGAGACAAAGAGGAATGAGACTGGGATTCCAATTCTGGGCCAACCAAAGAATTGAAATTGAAATAGCCCATTTCGGTTCTGATTCGAAATCCCTACTCCCGCAAATCAAACAGGGGTTTAGATTATAATCTATTTAAAACACGTAATGAAGATATGTTTTAAGTCAATTTAAGAAAACTGATAGCACCTTTTAACCTTTCTTATATTACAAGATTTGCAAACGTTATCGATCCGACATTTTCAAATGGGTGTTCAGTTTCCTTGATTAATTTGAACATTCGACCTTTTCGATCGTAACCATTTATTCAATCAATGACATAAAAGAGAACCCTTTGTCGACTAAGCTGACACCCGTCGTTCACACTCTTCAAATTTCAACCTTTATCAGGTGGTTGATTAATTAAACTTGGTTGAAAGTTAAGGGTTTTTGCATTGGAATTTTTGGTAAAAAATGAAGCTTTTCATAGTTACGTCTAAGAATTATTTTGTGTGTGTGGGAGAGAGAATGCAGTCGTGAGGCACCCGATTGAAATCTGTAGATGTTTACAGTTTAAAAGATGTAATCTTAGTTCAACGCACGATGTAGAGGTAGTAAATAAACAAATGAAGTTATGTGGTTGAGACTTGAGAGGAAGAAAAGAGTCTTTGGTAACTACTGATTGACGGAAATGGTCGTCGGAGTAGAAACAGAGATTAAAGAAGGATGATTTATTTATTTTTATTAAGTAGAATGTGGGGCTTGTTTTTCTCAAAAGTCAAAATTAACCACCCAGAGACGGAATACGAATCATATTCACGCCATGAGAGATGAGTAGGTTGAACCGTTGAACACGAAAAGGTTTTTCTCGAAACTAACCACCCAGAGATAGAATACGAATCATATTCACGCCATGAGAGATGAGTAGGTTGAACACGAAAAGGCAGCAAGATTTCAGAGAACAAATTAATTAAATTAAAATAATTATCGTTCTAGCTCTAGAGTCTTAAAAAGCTAAGAGCTTCTAAATCTATTAGGGCTGCAAATTAAATGGTATCTAATTGTTCAAATTCGAATTTGATTCGATATGTTGATGATTGAATCAAATGTGGATTCACCCTTATTCGATCTGATATAATCTGATTTGATTCGATTTAAATATTTATATTCATATATGCTTAAAATTTATAGAGTATATATCAATAAAGTTAGTCTGAATGTTTGTATTTTCACTAAGTTGTTATATGTTCAAGTTTCATAGGGATAATCTTCAATTCATTTTGTTCATAAATAAATAAAATATTAAAGTCATCTTTATTCATTTTATTAATAATATATAACATTTAAGTCATTTTAGTCTAATTTATTTATATTATTTAATATCTGATTATTGTCCAAATTCGATTTAAATCCATGATATATTTAATAGGTATGATATGATTCAACTTTGAATACAAATAAATCAAAATTGGATCTACCTATATTCGATTCGATTCAATTTATTTGCAGCCCTAAAATCTAAGTGCGTGGCAAGCAGGGGCAGCAATTTTTAACCCAACCTCCTCAACCCGCCCAACCCACCCATTTATTAGCAGGTTGGGTCATAACTTTTAATACTGGGTTTTTAGCGGGTGGGTCAATCCAATAACAAAATTTTAAATTGGTTGGGCTGGTTGGGTCATGGGTGTCCAACGGATATCCATCAATTAAGGATTCTAGTTTTTCATCGTTTGTTTATATTTTGGAAAGAAATCTCAACAAATTTCTCTTCTTCTACGAGTGACAAGTCTCCTCCTCTACAACTCTGAAATTTGAGGGCGACAAATCTCCTCCTCTACAACTTTTAGATATGAGGGCAATAGGTCTCCTCCTCTACATATTTGAGATCTGAGGGCGATAAGTCTCCTCCTCTGAAATCTCTCTTTCTTTGGACCAAAACCCTAATCTAATGGTAGCTAGAGGTGTAAAACGAGTTGTGTTGGGCCCGTGTTCCCCCCTCCCTCCCTAGGGATAACTTTGGGGGTCGGCCCCCGACCCAGGCCCGTGCCGTGTCATGGATCGGGCTGGCCCATGGGCCAGGTTGGGCCGCACATTGGGCCAAAGCTATTTATTTAAAAAAAATTGACAAAAAACTTCAGATTTTAAGTTTATATGAATTTTGATGTACAAAGTTGCTTCTATATACAATAATTAAATAAATTAGTATAATAAATTTTAAAAAAGTTATTTATTTTATTAATATATTATATATTATATATTATTATCTAATTATAATTTATATAATATTAAATAAATATATATAAATAATATATATGAGTCGTGCTGGGTTGGGCTACGAGTTGGGCAGTGCCGGCCCGGCCCGCTCAGTTGTACGCTACCGGCTCAGCCTGTGGATGAGAGGCATTTTGCCCAATGGTGGTTTTTCTACAATTTTTTGTAATTTTTCTAGTAGCTATTTATATTGTCTGTAATTTCTATTATATTTCTTCACTTTCTATGGTTTTCTATATCAGTCTTGAATTTCTGTTCTTTTTTCTGCAATTTTTAGTTTTTCTTTGTTTTTTGTAATTTCTGTTATTTTTCTTAATTTCCTATGTTTTCCTATAATTTTTATTATTTAATTATGCAATTTCAGTTTTTTTTTTATTTTCTGTTTTTTCAATTTTTATGTAATTTTTATTAATTTTATGCATTTTTATTTGATTTCTATTTTATTTCCTGCAATTTCTATTATTTTTGTGTATTTTTATTATTTTATCTAAATGGATTGGGTTCAAGTGAATTTGGATTTAACCCAACCCATTTAATTCTATCTAATTGGATCTTTAATGGGTTGGCAGGTTAGATGGATTGAATTGAAACTCAACCCAAACCCAAACCCAACCCAACCCGCCCAATTGCCACCACTAGTGGCAAGTGTTTGAAACTTATGCGTTTACGATCGAATGGTGTCATGCAATTTGTAAACACGGATTGGGACCTTCCATCATCTCTTATTATTCATTAAGTTGAAAATATGGAGGAGGGTTATCAAATGCAGCATTCCATGCATGAAGGTAGCAAGCGTTCTTTGGTGGATTAACAAATCAATTTCTTCTCAAGAGACTATTGGCATCCACTAAGGAGGTGCATCCTCTTTTAACAAGTTGGAGAACCTTCATTTGCATTGGTGTAAATGAATGGATAGGAGTGCAAATAGGTATCACGTAAAGTTTGTCAGTGTTTTCAACATGTCGTTGACTTGGCCAATTTAACCATTCAAATCTTCACTGGGCTTTGATTTAGGGTCTGATTCTCATAAAACCTGATATTTGGTAAAAAATGTTGACTTGGTAAAAAACTGTCCAATTTAGGCAGTTGAATCATTGATCTGTTCGACTTGGTCACCGTTCATGGGTTGCCCCAATCAATGTATGTGCACACTTTGAAGGCCATAACTTTGTGCTTAGTTGTCCTTGTCCAATTAAAGTGTTTTTCTTTAAAAAAAAAAGGGTAACATTTTGAGATCTATGCATTCTAAAGCACTGAACCTTGCTAATTTCCCCCCAAGAACCTTTTTTTTTTTTGCATCGAATCACAACGTTTAACATTTTTTTATAAAAACTTTAAAACTTAAATAAAAATATAAATTAAACATAAAATAACATATATTACATCTAAAAAATAATTACACTTTTATTGATAAAATACATATTAATCCATCCATCCATCCATATATATATATATATATATATAATGAAAAGTGCTGATGTGTCACATTTTAATCTATTTAATTCGGACGACCGATCTGGTGACCTGTGACCTAGAAGCAAATGCGGTTGGGCCTCCAGGCCATTTTTTAAAATATTGAAATTTGATTTACTTTTGCTTCTGACTATATATTAGTTATTTATGAAAAATAAAATAGGGAGTAAAATAATATAATTCCCATTCCATTCCATCAATGGAGGTAGAATAGCTATTTGTTGGGAGTGAAGCAAGATATCGTATTCACGTTGTCCGCATTTTATATGAAAGAAAATTCAGGTAGGAGGAAAATGGTGCAAATTTTGCATCACTGTCGCAAATCGATGGAAAGCCGAACTGAGTGCACATTTTGTATTGGATTAGATTTGTACTGCAAACAGCATAGGCTTAAGAATAATGGGTAACTATATGAAATTATTTCCTGATTTGTAGATGCATCCGTAGATGCTACAGAACAGAACTAAGAATTAATATAGAATGAATTGTAGTCTTATTATACGTCATACATATGCATGCATAGAGACAAAATAACATCACACTAATTAATAACTCAAAATTGAACACCAAATATAGCTGTGTACTCTGTATACTCACGTAAACGTCAAAGAATGGAATACATGTATATTCAACTGTTAACTAATAATTCATAGAAACTGTCATATTCAACTAATTGTATGTATCAATCAGTTGCGTCGATCTCTTGTCAAATCCTGGGGCCGATAGAGATGGATTTCTCTATTGTTGAGAGGCTGTAAGGGTCTTGCATTCTGTTCCGCATACTGCAAAAAGAAAGCACATCAATTGTGATCGATATTGTCATTGACCCAGGTGGTCAAGCTTGAGCTTGAGCTCGATCCCATGCACAGAACAGGTAATCAGGATTAATTATCAAACAGTTGGTGCTCAACCTGCAGGGGAAAGAAAGAAAACAAAAGGGAAGAAAAACAATAAACTTACATCATGAACTGCGTCTCTCAGTGCCTTCACTTGGTCTTTGGAAACGGTTCTCACCTGAAACACCCAATCAGGTTTATGTATATATGAAAATCATCATCACACAATTAATTAGGTGATGAAATTGATTGCAATTAATATTGGAACTTGGGAGAGGAGGGAAGAAGACAGACAGACCTTGGTGTTGATGGTCCAAATGACACCTTGGGTGCATGGAGGAACAGTAAGAGAGCCCATGTATCTATAATACTTCCTGCTTCCTATCTTTATGTGTCTTGGGTCTACCACTCCCACTCCCACCTCATTTTTGCTATCAGCTATAGACCATATTCCCTTCTTCAGCTGCATGTCCATTCATTCATCCATATATATAAAAAACAGTTTAGAGAGAGAGGTAATTAAGTAATAAATTAATAATTCAGTTAATTTGGAGCTTAATTAATTTTACCTCAGAGAGGAA